TAGGGCGTGTGCACATTTTTTAAGCTAATTTCTCTCTTCACAAATACAGAAATCCCAGACGCATTTCTAAATTTTACAAATGTGGCAAGAATGAGATTTTTTAAAATAGCATACTCGGGGAGTGGGTGTCCATACAGGATCACCATGTGTCTCCCTTCCCCCACCTCCTGCTTGATTTGGGGGGAAATTCAGTAAGTAGTTTGGCCACATATCTTTTCCCAATTAAACTAAAGGCATACTTAATAAATAATGACAGATCAATAACACCAAATCAAAGTTCTTTTCCTAAATCTTTTTCTATTCCATTTTCTAAAGTAATGACTATATCTTAGAGTTATTTTTGCCAACATTTGCTTATCCCAACATGTTCTTTGGTAATTTTTAAACAAAGCATTAGAGAATCTCTTTGCGACAGAGCTGATAGCTCCACCCTCTCCAGACACCTTTGAAATCAGTAGTGGAGGATCCGGCAGCTTTTTAGAAATTACAGATTTTAAATCCTCAAAAAAAATTAGGTATTTTATGATTTGAACAAGAAACCACATTAAAGATGACCAAGGCACTTTTTCTTCAGCCTGATTTTAAAAAGTACCTTATAATATTACAATTTGTTTATAATTTTGCCTTTTAACAAAATTCTTCCCCATTATAACCTGACTTAAAACTAAAGACTTTTCTTGCCCACTCTGGTTCATGACTTCCAGAGCTTGGTACAAGCTCTACACAGAGTTCAATCTTACCACCATACCGGTGTTGTTTTCTCTGCTCAGGTGAATTCTTCTTCTCCAAATGTCCATATCTCAGACGCCAATTAATGCCAGTGGTATTAATCAAGAATCTAGAAGGGTTCAGGAATCTGGAGAAGGCACTGTGTGTAAATTAATCAAGAGTCCAGAGATGAAACATAATTTTGAAAGGCATATTGGGGAGTCAGAGAAGACTTAGCTAAAGGAACTAAGTTATCCTTGTCTCAAGACCCCTTGCTTTTTATTAACACAAATTGTCCTAAGGAAAGGTAGATATACATATCAAAGGGTAGGGTTTTGTATACAGAGTCCATTGTCAGATTGGAGGAATTGCCTGCGGCTGTTCAGGTGCTTGGCCAGTAGGAGGCAATAACATTTAATGCCCTCAGCTGTCTGGCAGCAAGCAATCATTTTATGCATCCTTTTCAGGTTTGGGGAAATGCCCTCTGCCATCTCCAGATGATTCATCCCTGCTGATGTGCTGGAATTGGCTTCCGGCATATCCTGCCTTCTCCCACCACACTTCACACAAGAAGGGCAGTGGGGAAATTCTCAGGGAAATCAGAACTAGAAGAGATCAATTTCATGAGATATTGCAGTCCTTTGGATGTACTTCCTGGGCCATGTTCCTCACCCAGGACACATCAGGTAGCACAGTGTAGTGAGGACACTACGCTGGAAGTTGCGGACCTGAGGCTGGTTTCTGTTTCTGCTGCCAAGGTGGCTGTCTGACCTTGAGACTGCTGTGACCTTCTGTCTCCTTGCGTGTATAATGGAAAAATGATGGAAGTTCCTTTCCATTGCTTATGTCCTTCCATCCCTTGAGTTCAAAGTAACTGTCTATATCTTTTACATATTGAAGTATTTTGCTTGGTAATGAAGGTACTTCTACTTGGGCCTACAGTTTTCTTTTCTGTGCCATCCCTCACTTCCTCCCAGTCACATGGAGGAACTTGTTATTTTCTAAATACACAGTGCTCTACCAGGAGCGTCTACTTCTCTTTATAGACTTCCATTATTTTATCTGAATTTCCCTCCCCCTATGCCTAATAAAAAAACACCCATTTATCCTTATTAGTTGTCCCAAAGGTAATCTTTGCTCTGAAACCTTCCCTGATTCCCCCACTCCACCCCTTTTCTCCCATTGCTTTCTGATAACCTGGTCCTTGCCTATGCCGAGCTCTTATCAAGGTCTGGTTTGTATTACAGCTGTAGGGGCTGCTTCTGCGGAGAGAATTCTCAGCACTTGGATATAAAACAAAGTCCTTGAATTAACTGCTTATTTCTCCTCAGGAGAAGACAATGTCTGTGGCTCTGTTGGAGACTGCAGAGTTCAGGCTCCCAGCTCCCTTTTCCTCACCTGAAAATATGTGTTTATTGATTTTTTGAGAGAGAGAGAGAGAGAGAGAGAGAGAGACATCAATGTGAGAGAGAAACATCAATTGGCCACTTCCCCCATCTCTACCTCTCATACACACACCCCAATGAGTGATTGAACCCACAACCCCAGTATGTGCCCTGACCAGGCATTGAACTCACAACCTTTTGGTGCCCGGGATGATGCTCCAACCGACTAAACCACCAGGCCAGGGCATCAGGTCTTTTTTTTCCCCTCAGAAATCCTGGTTGATAATTAATACCACTGCAATAAGCTATCACAAGAGCTGGAACAACTGGGTTACCCTTAAATACGGAATGGAGGCACTGGTGCTAGCCCTACAAGGGAAGGGCAGGGGAGATTCTCCTAAAATGGGTAGAACCAAGAGGACCATGAACTGCCTATCCTGAAAGGTAATTAGGTCTTTTCCCAAGTCTCTGTCTTCCCTCAGACACCTTGAGCAATATCCAGGGCTGGCACTCGGGGTGGGAAAGGACATAGGGAAGATGCACTCTGTCCTTGGGGCTGAGGAAAACTGATAGTGTCGGGAGGCTGGGGGGAGGAGGGAGGAGACTGGGGCCCTTCTCTGTGTGTTCTAGAGACCAGGCTATTGACTGCACCTGGTGGGCTCACACACAGGGCTCACACTCTGGGAAAGTGCAAGCTGTACCTGGTTGGCCTCAAACAAGGGTGCCGGAAGCCGGTCCATCCTTGCTGCTTGACACAGTCGCTGCAGGAAAGAAACATCTGCACAGCATATGTTTCAAGGGACCTGGCATATATAGCATATTGTTCTTAATATGTTTGCTCTCCTTAAGCGCCATGTGTTTTAACCAAGGTCACCTCTCCGAGAAAGGTTGTTTCCCCAGGTAGGGATTTTTCCCTGAGGTTAGGGAGGGGATACAACCCCTTAACTAAGTGCCAGGCGGGTAGTTAATCACTTTAACTACAAACAATCACGCTTAAGCTACATAATCTTTACTCCCTGGAATGGAGATAAGAAACGCCCTAACCTTTGCAATAGAAATTGACAGGATTAAAATCGGCTGGTATAAATATAGATGTAACAAGACAATAAACATCAGATCCTAATCAGTGGAGATCCTGGCTAGAGGTCCTGACTAGGCTGCTGATCAACTGAAGGCTGTCTCCGTGTCATTCCTTCTTCGCCGACTCCGTCCACACCTTTGGGGACCTCTGGACCCGCTGGGGTTGGACCCCAGCACAAGGGCTCAGATGTTGGAACCCCTTTCTTTCCCAGTTCACACTGTTGGATGGATGGAAGTAAAATGGGCTTGGAAAGAGAAATGGGAATAATAAAATGGGAATCATCAACAGGAATGATAACCTGCACAGCCTTGAAAGCATTTTACCCTTTGTCCTTGGTTCTAGGAAGATTTCAGAGAGTAATTTCCAAGCATCTATGGAAGGGGCAAAAATGTACTTCCCTTCACTTTCTCACCTTCACCTGGGATCAGGCCAGTCACTGATGTGGCTTCATAATGGCCTGTGATCTTGGGAGCCTGCCTTGAACACTCCAGTTCATCCTCTTTCCACCCTTTTGTGCTTCTTCATCTGCACATGAATAAACTTTGTCTAGTCTCTCCTGTTAATCTTGTTTTCATCAGTTAATTCACAGGCCCCCAAACAGGAACCTAAATGGGTAGGAAAATTTTTCCTCCCAACACCACTCAAGATGATAAGAGTACTATCTAAATACTAAGAGACAAACAAAACATGCTGGAGGGTGAGGTACATGAAACTAAAAGTTCGTGCTATGCCATAGCTTCCTTAGTCCCCCTGCTACTTCCAATCAAATGCATGTTAGTTGTGATCAAATAACTGGATCAATACCCCTTCCGCTGGTAACTGACCTTTAGGCCATTTCACAATGGACATTTTCTTTGGCTAAGACCACATTCCACTTGCGAAGATCACATTCCACTTGCTAAGACCAATATCCGTCCCCTCTGTACCTTTCTAGGATCAGGACCAGTCCAGAGAACTCTCTGCGCAGAAAACGCCTGCCTAGAGTCCTTTAAATTCTCTCACTCCCTGTCCCTGGGTTCTGGCACCATTTTGGGGTTCAGCCCATTTGGTATCCAGATGACCTAGTCTAATAAAGAGGGAATATGCAAATTGACCATCACACTGTCACAAAGATGGTGGCACCCCCAGCAGAGGCAGGGTTTCCGTAACACAAGATGGCTGCGCCCACAGTGGAGGCCGAGATCCCTTAATGTGCCTTAAGGAGCAATCATCAGGGACCTCAGGCTGCACCCCCCACCCAGCAGGGCTTAACAGGGACCTCAAGGCATTTTCCCTGCCCTGGCCCAGGCCAGGGGACCTCAGGCCGCGCCCCCCGCCCAGCGCCAAGCCAGGGGACCTGAGGCTGCACCCCCTGACCTGTGGGGTTTGACAAGGGTGGGACCGGCTGGGTCTGGATCTCGCCCAATGTGGGTGGGGCTGGCTGGGTGTGGGTCTCGCGTGATTTTGAGGGACTGTGGGTCTGCTGGGACTTGACTCTGGGTCCCGTAGTGTGCCCCAGACTCTGACAGGAGGAAGATTTTCATATGCCTTTTACTAATTTTCTTTCATCTCTGACACTTCTATTATAAAGAAAGGGCAAATAACAATATTAAAATAATTCCACTAATTAATCACATTTTAATGTGCATGAATTTTGTTCCCTGGTTCACTATTAAATGTATAATCCCTTACCACTTTGGCTTTGTGCATTTCTCCTTCAGTGACTAACATTTGGTGCCGCAAGCCGGGAGGATTCCAGCGGGGAGAGGAGCCATCGTCCTCACTTTTGTTACCCTAAGTTTGCTACTCAGAGAGCAGTAGGCAGCGTCAGCTTGTCCTGTGCTTACCTCTGAATCCTACTCCAGTAACTGGATTGCTGGCCTCAATTAGGCCTCTGTCCCTTATGGACCCTCTTGAACCAGCCAAGGAAGATGCAGGATTGGGAATCTTTCTCCATTGTTGACCCTTCATCCCGCACCAGCCAATCTTTTCTAGGTGAGAGACATTCCACAATTCCCCTCATTTCGTGTCTTCTGCCCACTCACTCTCACGGACTCTTCAATAGTCTCTCATCTCAAAAATCCTAGTGCTAGGCCTGAAGACTCCTCAACCATTTGGCTTTGGATCCTTCTTGATTGGATCCTGTCCAGAGGGTCACCCCTCATTTCTCCTGGTGATTTGTTTAGCAGTGGGGACATCTGCCCTGAACAGTCATCTTTGGATTTGTGGTCTGTCATTTACCCTTCCTCTGCATACTCACAAGGGAGATCATGCCCAAGCACCTCATTTTCTTTTGTAATACTGTTTGTCCATGATATAAACTAGATGATAAATTTTAATGGCCTAAAAATGGAACTTTCAATTTTAACACATTGCACAATTTAGATAATTGCTGTCACCATGATGGAGAATGGTCATAGATTCCCTACATCCAGGCTTTTTTCACCCTCTAGTCCCAAACCTTTCTCTGTCACTCCTCTACCCATCAGATCCTACTCCTTCACACAAAAAATCATACCCGCAACACTTCTGATTCTGAACCTACTTTTGACCCAGCAGACCACTGACCTTCACCCCTTATGTGTTCCCTCTCCATCATCTGCAGTAGAATCCAAAACTTCAGACCCTCCTAACCAGCAACCACCTTCTCCCCTGGTCCCTGAGAACTTAAATCCTGAGAACTCAAGCTTCAATGCAGCCCTTTCCCCATCCAACATTGGCTCTCGGGCCACCCAAAGACCACCTTTCTCAACATCCACTCTATTCCCGAACCCATTCTACCATGAGAGAGAGAGCAGGAATTGAGGGTACTGTCTGAGTACACATCCCATTTTCCATGTTCAACCTTGTAGGGACTGACAGCAGATCCTGAGCTGTAGATGAATGATTACTCTAACACATGTTTCTGTGAAAGAGAGGGCTAAGGGACTGCCTGGCTAAAGGAACCAAGCAGCCCCATTTGCCTGCCTCCTTAGGCTTTTATTGTACCAACAGCTTGAACTAAAATTAACTTCTAGATCAGTGGTTCTCAACCTTCCTAATGCTGCGACCCTTTAATACAGTTCCTCATGTTGTGGTGATCCCCAATTTCATTGTTACAAATTGAACATAATTAAAGCATAGTGATTAATCACAAAAACAATATGTAATTATATATGTGTTTTCCGATGGTCTTAGGTGACCCCTGTGAAAAGGTTGTTCGACCCCCAAAGGGGTCGCGACACACAGGTTGAGAACCACTTCCCTAGATACTATCAGCAGGGTAAGTATCCTTAAGTAAAAACATGTATCTCTAGTGCAGTGATGGCGAACCTATGACACGCGTGTCACAGGTAACACACGAACTTATTTTTTTGGTTGATTTTTCTTTGTTAAATGGCATTTAAATATATAAAATAAATATAAAAATATAAGCTTGTTTTACTATGGTTGCAAATATCAAAAAATTTCTATATGTGACACGGCACCAGAGTTAAGTTAGGGTTTTTCAAAATGCTGACACGCTGAGCTCAAAAGGTTCGCCATCACTGCTCTAGTGTCTTTAAAACAAGGATGTTTTGAAGTCTAAACATAAAGATTCCAGTAAAACACCCAGGGGCTCAGACTTGTTTGGACAAGTCAAGGCAGGGTCTGCCACGTTCGGCAAGAATCCCCTAGAGGCCTCTGACCTTTTGGCGAATCCTCCTTACAGACTTTTCAACCAAGTCCCGTGCTTCTCCACAACTCCTCCCTTTTTGACTTGCTGGCTGCGGAAAATAGAGGAAGGCGGTAAACTTTTTGCTTTGGAATGTCTTGGTCCATGAAGCACATTCACTGCTGGAGTTCTGATTTTGGAGATTATAAGAAAAACGAAGAGAATTACAATGACAGCAATGGTTAGTCCCATCGGGTACCAACTGATGCTAGGAAACCATGTGGTGGGGTCTATCCACTCCAAATGTTCCTATACCACATTCCAAGCAGTAATATGTTTTTCATGTTCATTCATAGCAAGTAAGGACTCTTTAATTTGCCTTTGCAACATGTTTACTTCTTCAGTAAGGTTATCATGAAAGATTCCCCATAGATGTTTTTTAACATCAATCCACTGCTGGTGACTACTGTTCCATTTTAAAGAGGAGACACACATGTGCTTATGCTCCCAATCACAATTGAGTACTTGCCTGTCCTGTCTTTCCCCTAGATACTTAATGGATGCCTCTATTGCCCATAGTCTAGCAAATATTTGTTTTCTATGTGCTGTTGTATAGTGAATTCCCTAGTTACATTATATACCCTATTGTATACAAATGTGGCAGTCTGTACAGACTCAGAAAGGGCCACCATGGTGACACTGGCTGTAGTAAGAATAACAACAGCGAGATAATGGCTGCAATGAGCATTCCCAAAAATCTTTTGGGCCGCAATTGGCTCAGTGCTCTTTCTAAGACTTAAATAGCTCATGAGCCTTGCCATTTCCTGGTGAGATTAGCAGGTATTAAGATTTCTCCTTATCTCCTAAGCACTAAAATAGTGCTGATATTCAATGAGGTAATATTCTGGGTGGTAATACAGGATGCAAAATAAGCTCCTTCTCCAACCTGTACTAGAAAAGATGAACTATGGTTTCTTTTTTTCTTTCTTTCTTTTTTTATATTTTATTGATTTTTTTAGTACAGAGAGGAAGGGAGAGGGATAGAGAGTTAGAAACATCGATGAGAGAGAAACATTGATCAGCTGCCTCCTGCACACACTCCACTGGGGATGTGCCTGCAACCAAGGTACATGCCCTTGACTGGAATCGAACCTGGGACCCTTGAGTCCGCAGGCTGACACTCTATCCACTGAGCCAAACCGGTTAGGGCGAACTATGGTTTCTTAATAGATTGGGGCCTATAACAAAGACATGGGGTGAGTGGTAAATCAGGCTACTGTCAGTAAGATTATTAGTAAAAGTCTTACTATAATGGCTGGAGGAGTTCTGGTAGTCACCGTGCCACAATGTTAAAGGGCTGAAAACATGGTCGAATCTCTATAAAATTTCCTGAACTGGCAAGCTTAGTACTCAAGGTCATGGGGAACTTATCCCTCCCTTGAATCTCTATAAAATTTCCTGAACTGGCGAGCTTAGTACTCAAGGTCATGGGGAACTTATCCCTCCCTCAGTCCAAACTAAGGGCATGCCTGTATAACCAAAGTAACCTGTATTAGACGCACGGTGTGCCAGAATGTCAGTGTGGGTGGCTTGTAAATGACTATATGGGCTCTAATCTGTAACCTGTTGGTCCTCTAGGACCGTCAAATGAACACGATTTCCTCAACAAACTTCCCAATGGACTGCCTCAGCAGAGGGGTCCCCCGCTTATTTTGCTTACAGGGAGTGATGGGAGGCATAGTGGCATTACTCAGATTGCCACAGGCCTCACTGCCTGCTGAGGGAAACATATAATTTACCAAATTGCTTTAAAAATGCCTCCTTATATCTGAAAAACAAAAAGTTTAAGAACTAGCAATACTTTCCACAAAAGTTACAAAAACTTTATAATTATTTTCTATTTATTCAGCTCTCTAATAAAATTATTTCTTCTGATTTTTCCTGCTAGTATTTCTATAAATTCAGATGCTTTATAGAGTAAGGTGAATGATATGGAATCTTGTCCTTTGTATAAAACACAACATTCTAGAATAATAATTAGAGCTATAAATGAAGGCATAATATAGTTATTATTATTTGATAAAGCTTCCTATGTATCTTAAGCAGAAATTTTTCCCTCATGAGAGAGAAAACAAATACTTGAGACATTATAGAGCATATTGAAATGATCTAAAGCCAATTCTAGGTCAAGAAAAAGGTTCTTAAAATTCAAACCATGGAAGGTAATCAAATACATTAGACTAAAAGAGTACATGTTGTTATTATTATTAAACAGTAGTAAGTAATTTATTCATTTAAGTAATCAAGTTCCTGATAATATAACATAATTATTTTAATAATATATATATGTAACCTTTGCTTCTTCGGCAAATACAGAAAAAAATTTTTTCCCCTTTACTTTTAGAAATAGGCTTATTTTTCCAATGGAAGATATACTCATATTCTTAAAAAGCATAATAGAGCTAACATGACCTTGACAACTCTTAGGAGGCTGGAGAAAGGGTTGGTGTGTATGTGGGAAGAGAGCAGGTCCTGGAGTTTGATCCCAGGACTGCAGTAACTCCTGGGCCTCTAACGACTTTAGTGTAAAAGTACCATTTTTGTCTTTATGAGGAGAATCCCTTCCTACCTTCACCCCGCTGCTGCCACTTCTGCAGTTATTCAAGGGTTCTTCTGTAGCTCCGGACCTCTAGGGTTAATACTTGGGGAGTTGAAATAATTATTTCCCATATTTTTCTCTTTTTGAGTAGACTAACAATATGAACTCTTGTATATAAGAAGAGATCTTAAAAACAGAAACAAAACAAAACAAAACAAAACAAAAAGACCCCTATAGTAAATGAATGAGTACTCACAAGAAGGTGGACTGGGACATTAGCCTTAGAATTTTATTTCATACTAACCCAGCACAGTAAAGAACATCAATCAGTAACCAAGTTACATTATAGACAGACAAGAACTTCCACTAGCTAAGATTTTCCAGTGGCTATGCCTTGAGAGGGAGAGCAGGAAGGCTCCCCAAGATTAAGAATTTTTGGCAGCTGCTGGGAAGTTCCTGCAATCCCTGTCATGTGTTCAGCCTGCTACAAGTAGATGGGGCCACTAGCAAAGTGAAATGTGCCCCATCTTTAAACAAATTAAACCAAACAACAAAGATACAAAACAACAATCAACAGACACTCTATGTGTAATATCTATAAGCATGCACAACCCCCAGATGTGACTTAATAAATCAGAGTCCTTTCCATGGATCTTTCAGAAGATGTCTTATAGTGCCCAGGTGCGGCTCAGAGGGCTCCTAAGTGGGGTAGCCAGTGAACACCCACAAAAAGCCTGT